ATTCTCATTCTTAGTTTCTTTCTAGAAAAAGAAAACCTTACATAATGGTTGGAAAATTAAGACACAAGCAGTATGACTCGACTAAGTTTTAATATTTCTTTCTCAAATATCAGCTCGCCGGCCGGGGCCTCCAGGCTGCGCTGACACCGGCCGCGCCTCATTCATTCATTCCCTGCGTTTGAATGAGCACCTACTATGAGCCAGGCACCGCGCTGGCTGCCCAGGGGGCGCCCTGCCCGCCCGCGTCCGCTCCCCAGCGACCCCAGATTTCTTCTAGCCTCGCGCCCACTTCCCCCAGGGCCCTCCTCTGTCTGATTTGAAGATATTTATGCTTTTATTTAAAACTTTTACTTTACAAGAAAAGAAAGGGAGCGATGCGGGCTGTCCCGCTGCTTCGGCAACTGTAATCCTCCTTAGCGCCCGCTGTGCGGCGGGCCTCTCGCTGGGGGCGTTTGGTTCATCACTTCGGAGGGGTCCGGGGACCTGCACCCCGTGGGAGGGTGTCGAGCGCGCAGGAGGCGGCCAGGATGGCTCCCCGCTCCCTGTTGGGCCCCGGAGCTGGGCGGTTCGGGCCGCCATTTGGGCAGAAGTTCACCAGCGACTCCCCAGAAGGAGGAAGTGGAGGGGACCCAGGCGCGTGGTGATGTGGTTACCTGAGCACAGCCTCGCGCCAGTTCTGGGCTTTGGGAACCCCGAGAAGTTTGGGTTCACATTGGGGCTCCCCCCTTCCAGACCGGGGGGCCTTTGGCTCAGTCCCTTTATCCTGTTTAGTGGGGACAATGCGTCCTTGTGAGGTGGTGACTGAGGAGCCGGTACTTTCCCCGCCCAGAGTCATGGCTGCATTCGCATCGGCCACTGGTAGTTCTCTCCCGGCCAGGGCGCCCACAGGCGGTGCTGAGCTGGGCTGGGAGCACCCGCGGGGCTAAAGCGCCTTAGATGGAAGGGAGGGGGAGGGGGACATTAAAACCCAAATGCAGCTGGCTCATGTTTGACACATTATCTTTTTATTGATTTCTGAGAGAGAGGGAGAGAGAGAAACTTCAGTGATGACAGAGAATCATGGATCGGCCGGCTGCCTCCTGCACGCCCCACACTGGGGATCGAGGTGCCACCTGGGCACGTGCCCTGACTGGGAATCAAGCTATGACCTCCTGGTTCATGGGTTGATGCTCAACCACTGAGCCACACCGGCCGGGCCAGGTTAATGTTTAAGAGGATGCTTTTGTGTGGCCTGAGAATGTGTTCTAAATGTCCACATGGCCCTTGGCAGACCCGCCCCAGCTTAGGACAATCCTAGGAGGTAGGTACTGTTACTGTGTCCGTTTTACAGATGGCCAGATGGGGAAACTGAGGTCAGGGTGGTGAAGTGACTGGCTTTAGGCGAGGCCGAGTGGCAGGACCGGGACTTGAACCCAGGTCTCCTGCCCCGTGACCCTTCCCCGTTTCTCCAATCTGGGACGCTTCCAGAATGTGGCTGAGTCGACTTATTTTGATTT